CCCCCCCCCCCCCCCCCCCCCCCCCCCAAAGCCATGGAACACGCCACCTCACTCACATGGTATCCAAGGACATCCGCCAGGGATGGTTGGAGCCCTCCGCCTGGCCCCACCAGCTGGCTGGCAGAGTGCCGCTGAGCTGGTTGAATGCAGCGTCCAGCTGCTCCAGAACCGGGAAGGAGCAGGGCAGCTGGACCGGCAGCGTGCCGGCAAGCGAGTTGTTCCGAACGATCCTGCGGGGGAGATGCGATGCACACGCGTGCGGCGCATTTGGTGAGAGAACAGCTAGCATCCCAGGCTGCACCACACACCAAGCATTGCAGTGTCTGTCCACCCCCAGCTCAGGCAACGTTGGCACTCGCATTTGTCTAAGGCGTGATGGTGTGGGCGCAGCGATACCGTGCAGCGGCCAGGACTCGCAGGAGTCGTTGCTGGCGATGTGGTAGGTCAGGTTGCACCCATGCGGCAGGCCGCCGGTCAGACTGTTGTATGAGACATCCAAGCTGACAAGCCCGGGGAAGATGCTGCTGCAGCCCAGATTCAGAGGCAGGGTGCCGGACAGCTGATTGCGGCTCAGCCACAATAACTCCAGCCTGCCAAGCTGTTGCCAGGCAGCAGGCAGGGTCCCTCTGCATGCAGGTAGGCAGGACCAAATATGTGAAAGAGGCAGTGTGCAGGGCTGGCATGTGGCAGTCACTTTGCTACAGACCCACGCATAGACAACACCAACAAGGGCGTGCTGCTGCATGAACTTGCACAGAAGATGACAGGCACCCGCTGATGCAACGGACACATCACATGCAGCCTCATTTACCTGAGCTGGTTTGTGCGCAGATCAATGTGGGTTAATGACGGCATTGTTTGTGCCCATCCAGCGGGCAGCATGCCGCTCAGCTGGTTGTTGCTAAGCTGGCTGCACAGCAAGGCACAGCGGGCAGGCAAGAAGAAAACTGGTGGACAGGGCAGCTCAAAGATAAATGGCGTGCCATCAGGCAGCAGTCAGCATGTTGTACAGCAACGATCATACCGCTCGAAGTGATGCTCACTACCCTGCGGCAAGGCCATCCGGCACAGCGCGCGCAGCTGGCTGGCCCAAGGGCTTTACTTACATCTTTTCTATCATCGCGCCGGCCCAGCTTGACGGCAGCGTCCCTGTCAAGCGGTTGTCTGAACAGTCCAGACGGGCAAGCCTCGGCAGAGAGCTTGGCACAAGCGGCGGCAGGCTGCCGGTGAACGCGTTGGTCCCAAGCTCCAATGATTGCAGGGATGGGAATGCGCCGGAACTAAACCAGGTAGACGGCAGGCTGCCGGTCAGCCCACAGCCAGTCAGCACGCTGCAACATGCATCCAGCAGCAGGGGTGAGGACAGGGTAGGAGGCGAAGGTATCACATAAGGCGGGGCTGAGAGGCCCAAAGCCACTTACAGCTGCTGCAGCGACGGCAGTGCGTTCTTGGCCCCCCATGCTGCTGGCAGGCCCCCAGTCATTGCAACAAAGAATATCCTGATCTTCCTGAGACGGCGCATGCCCGCCCACGATGCCGGCAACCGGGCAGGGCGGTTGAACGTAGAGGGCCCCGGAAGGTCAAACAGTTCCAGGGCCGGCAGCTGCGCCACAAGCTCCAAAAATGCGGCGGACAGGAGCAGAGGTGGCTCCAGGAAGGATATTTCTCGCCGCATGAAACGGAGCACGCTGCATGGAGACAGGGACGTCCAGGGCGGGAGGTAGATGGATGGAGCGAGAGCTAGGAAAGCCAGGTGAGCGGAGAGCGATATACATGAAGCGCCTCGACAATGCCGGCAGAATTTGGAGTGTAGCAAAGAGGCAACAGCATAGCTCCGGCGCCTGTTTGAACTTAAACACAACAACAGGATGTGCTGGCGCTGGCTGGAGGAGCCTGGCAACTCACAGTTTTGTCACGAGGCCGTCAGCGCCGCAAGTGACGCCCACCCAGCTGCAGGGAGGGGCCGTCAGGTTTGTTGTCCAGCCAAGGATGGGGCAGGTAATATTAGTTTCGCAATCTATGGTAGGCAGCAGATGGCCGTCTTCGCAGCAACCAGGGTAAGCAGCCGCTGCTACCAACGCGGCCTCCGGAGACGCGCGCTCTCCGGCCAGGCCTATTGTGGCATCCCTCAAGGACTTCAGCACTGCAGGACAGGCAGGCAACAACCCCATATGATCTTCACCCAGCGTCGTCGAATTGATGACCATGCACAGGTGCAGCCAAGCCCGCCACCAATGCAGCCACCTGCCAGCAGCGAGCACCTACCAGCGGCATCGCTGGCGGCGGTGGCGGCGACAGCCGCCACGCGCAGCAGCAGAAGGAGGAGCAGCGGCCCTGCTATCAGACGCCGCATGATCCCCCCTATCGCCTGGCCGCCTGCTGCACAGGTCTACAGGCCCGCAGCCTCGGGATGGAGCACTCGTGTCTCGAGAGAACCCGCGGGGCGGGCTTATCCGGCTGCACATGCATGGCACGGAAACCAGATTATGACTGCGCCAGTAGTCGCCGTTGCGCCCTCCAGCATTCAGGTCCTTCCGCGCCACGTCAGCGACTGCCGGACGGAGCAAGTTGTAGCTACCTCAAAAACAGGCAAATGCCTGGATGGAGGTCATATCACGTGATGGCTGGCCGTGATTAATCAGTAAATCAGGCTGCAATTTGCTGCCTCGCGCAACCCTGCCGCCGCTGCCACTAGGCTTACTCGGGCAACAGGGAGGAAGGTCCACACATGCATGGATAGGAAACAATATCAGAGGTGCATACGGAAGAATTAAAGAATTAAAGGGAGGTTACCGTAAAATTCACTCTGGACGCGTCGCAAGCAGCCATGTATCCTCGGCAGAACTACTACTGCTGTTCAGCCCAATGCCTGCAGCTGCCCCTTCGCTGCTGTCCTGCAGCACCGCCACCACATGTTTTGCGCCGGGCCGTGCAGTGGGATCCCGGTCCAGGCAGGCGTATGCCAGCTCAGCCACAGCCAGGGGGCAGTGCTCGGGAACCCTGCACATACAGATGTGGTGCAGGAACTGATGGCAGTGAGACACAGCAAACACCTCTTGCATGCCGCGCCAAGGCCAGATCGGGCAGACCGCCAGCCCAGCTTGCTTGTGTGGGCTTAAAGTCTGGTAAAGCAAGAACTAGCTTGCAACATAGACTCCCCGCCGAAACGGGACGGGAACCGGGCGAAAGCAGAGAAAGCAATAAAACAGGGGTGGAGCAAGGCGACATGCAACGCAAGCAGCTGACAGGGCACGCATCGAAACGTGTGTATGACTGGCAAAGTGGCATGGCGCATTGGGGAGAAACGCAACGGTACGGGAGCATGGGCTGGCCAAACGGCAGTGCGGAACGCTAGGTCACTAGAAAAGCAGGGAAAGGCGCACTATGTATGCAATGAGGGCAGCCCCGGCTCGGGGCCGTTGAGAAAGCAGTGGGCGGGAGGGGGGAGGCCCCGGTGTGGGCGGGCCCCATCGAGGGGGGATGGGGCGCGCAAGCGGCCAGATGGGGCGGGGCGCGGGCGGCAGTGGAGTCCTGCGGCTGGGTGGGATATAGGGCAATGAGCGTTGAGCAGTGTGCGATGAGCAATGAGCAATGAGCAGTGAGCAGCCCCTCCCTAAACAAAGTGAAGCGCAGGACGGGGTCCGGTGGATGGGAGGCAAGGAAACGCGGGGGGTTGCCACGTGCGCTACCGCCGCCGCCGCAGGCAGCACCCCTGCGACAGCGGCGGCAGCAAGCCGTGGACCGAAACTCCGTGCCGCCGAGTCCCGTGGCTGTGGCCGTGGGCTTCTGGCAGGAAACTACGGCCGCAGCTCGGCAGCACGGGGGCGTCGCAGCGTGCCGCCGCCGCCGCCGCGCTGCCCCCCGGGCACGGCGGCGGCGGCAGCAAGCTTGGGCCCAAACGCCGTGCCGCCGAGTCCCGTGGCTGCGACCGTAGACCGTGGGCCGGAAACTGCGGCCGCAGCTCGGCGGCACGTGGTTCTGGTCAAATCGCCAAGCGTGCAGCAGCGCCGAACCACGCTTCCCGGCCTCGGCGCATGCCTTCAGGGCCCCCCTATCGCTGGGCACACCCCTCCAACACCGAACATGCGCCCGGGGGGGAGGGCGGCCCGGGCTGCCCAGGCCAAAGTGGGCCGCCCTCGAGCAAGAGGCGGCCGGGCTGTGTGCTGAATGAATGAATGAATCCTTGCTGAAAGCGCACAGCACGGCACACCTGAGCTGCAGCTCGGCCCGCGCATCCCTGCCGCGCGCCGCATGGCCCGTCAGCACCTCCAGCATCACGATTCCCAGGCTGTAAATGTCGGACGCTGGGCCGCACCAGCCCCCTGCCAGCTGCTCGGGGGAGGAGTAGCGGTTGGGGGTGCCATGAGCTGTCACGATGCTGGCCTGCAGGATGCCTGACTGCCCGAGATCGCAGATTTTGGCAGTGCCCAGTGATCCATCCAGCAGCACATTGCTGCAGACCAATGGGAGATAGGGAGGCACAGCAAGCAAGCGACAATTGCAGCGAGCACACATGTGGATTGGCAAACAGCAGGGATGGTCAACCACGCAGCCACAGGCTTAACCCACCTCGCTTTCAGGTCAAGGTGCACGATCTTGCGGCCACGTAGGTGGTGCAACGTGCTGGCAACTTGGAGCAGCAGCTCCCGGCCCCTGCAGGTGCAGGGCAGCGAGTGTAAGCAATGTCAGCTCACAACAGACAGCCGACAGGCAGCTGTGCAAGCAATGACGCAGTCGACGATAGACAGACACAATGCCAGCACACCTGGCATGGTAGCGCAGCGCCGGGTTTGGCAGCTGGCTGAGCAGCGAACCACCGGACATGAGCTCTGTCACCACAAACACCAGGCCATGCGCCCAGCACACGCCAACCAGCTGCAGGCAGGCGCCGAGCCAAAACACATGTCATGGCTGGGAACGCATGTCATGGCTGTGGGAACTGTGACAGAGCAGCAAAATCCCAAATGAACTATACAACACACTGCAATATGCAAAGAGCTGCACCACCCGCCCCCTACCTGCAGGATGCCAGGGTGGTGGCAGCGGTGCACCAACGACACCTCCTGCTGCAGCTGCTCGTTCAGCATAGGACCCACAGGCAGCAGCATGACCTTCACCGCCACCGCCAGCTCATCGTGCAGGCGAGCCAGATACACCTGCAATGGAACAGCAGGCAAGGGCAGTACGATTTGCGGTACATTCATCCACGACAGTGCAGCAAGCAAGTGCGGCAGTGACTCTGTCTCTCACCTTGGATGAGGTGCCAGCCCCAATCTCAACCAGCCCTGCGCAGCTGCTGCTGCCGCTGGTGGGTAGTCGCTGGCTGAAGGTAAGATCAGAAAGCCGCAAGGAGAGGGGCCCGCAGGCAGTGGCGGCACGCAGCCGCTCGGAAGCGCGGCCAGACGTGCTGGGACCGTCCCCAGCAGTGGCCTCTTGCTGCCAGCTGGCTGTTCCAGGCAGCTGCTGCGTCAGCGCACTTGACTCTGGTGGCCGATGGGCTCCAATCACCAAGCCCTGTTCATCAGCTGACGCGCCATGCATGCGCTGGCTCAAGTCACGCAGCCGCCGCTCAATCTCTGCATGCTCCTTGCGTTTTGGTGTCCGGATGCTGCCGGCGCTGCCTCTGCTGTACTGCAGCAGTAGCTGCAGTCCTTCCTCGTCCGCTGGCGCTGCTGCCGCCCGCTGCGCATGCTCTCTGCGAACTGCAGGCAGCAGCACAACAGCTGCCATCACCAGCACAGCTGCGCCCCCCACTGCTGCTGCCAGCACGCCGCGGCTGCTGCTGCTGCTGCTGCTGCGCACCACGGAAGGACTGCAGGCAGGCAGGTGAACGCTGGTGGTGGCATTGTAGCAGACAGTCCAACCCTCATCCGGATGGTTGATTGGAATATCCTGATATCCGCCCGGCTGCACGACAATTGCCTCGCCGCTGCCTGTATCTGTCCAGCCGCCCACAAGGCCACTGGTGTTCAGGCAAGCCCTGTGTTACAGTCACCCCGCTATGATAGGCCGCGTGAGCAGACCTTGGGCAGGGGGCACACGTGATCAAGGGGCATCAAGAGAGGGGGTGGACCATGGAGCACCCTCTCCATGGCTCCGACCACCCTCCCCCCAGCTGAGCGTCCCAGGGTCACCCCACCCTGGCCCCGCTCCCCGTCCTGCCGGACACGCAACCCCCACAACGTGGTGGGGGACGTGGGGATCCTTAGCAGCTTAGGCCTGCCAGGCCGACGGGTGCCGATGCTGGTGCGGGCTCCCGGCGGCAGGCAGCGCCGCCGCCGGGCACTCAAATGGCATGGGGCACATGGGCCCCCATGCCCGCACATCTCCCAGGCACATGAAAATACCAGAAGGCTGCACATGTAAGGGTGCATGCATTGCAGGCAGGAGTGCAAAGTGGCCTGCCGCGGCGGTCGGCTGTGCCATTACTCAGTCAGCCGCCGCTACCGTGCCGGGCTTGGCGTTCCCATGCCAACATGCCGGCGTGCCATCGCGCAAGGGGCCAGTGAGTGTGTGAGGCGGAGGTGGGGGTGGTGGGGCTGCCGCTGACCGTTGCTTGCTGACGCTGACGCTGCTCTTACCTGCGGGGGGAGGGGGTGGGTCGGGAGCCAAGGCCGGGCAAAAGATGCCTGGGCCCTACTCA